TCTTCACCACACCATTATTCTTGCGGCTCAGACATGGGTGTGATGATAGCAGAGCCATCACACAGGGTCTGGCTATGAAATCCAGGCTGGTTTTGAACTCATAATCCTGCAATCCTTCTGCCACAGCCTTCTGAGTGTTGGGATTACAGATGATGCATGTTTAAAATCATTTTAATGAGAACTTTACTTGGTCACAGAGGATTCTAGCTAGTTACACACCAGGTCTCCTTTTTCTAAAATTTCCAGCAGAGGAGAATTAAATCATCTACCAAAGGAGGGTGGGAGGATACTCTCTTTTGCTGTCCCTTCAACCCCATCCAGGTGCTTTGTATAGATTTTCTCAGAGAGTTAATCCTAGGCAACAGCACAGTAAGTATTGCCAGTTAGCAGACAAAGCCAGGAAGATGCAAGAGAAGTTGAAAAAAAATTACTGGACCCCCAAAGAGCAGAAACCACAGAGCAGGCAGATGGTGACCAAAGTCTAGCCTTTGAACTTAGGAAAAAGTGCTGTAAAGGGCATAATCCCAATAACTCAGGCTGATGGAGGCCTGCAGATGCCCAGGGAAAGGTATAACTGGAGACAGCTAATACCTGGACAATCCTTAAGGTTTACATGGGAACTCTCCAGAACTCAACTGTAGTCTCAGAATTCAGGAACCATTAACAAGAATCGTCGTCCTGCCTTACTCCTATTGGTGGGTACAAGAGTAGCTTCCCTTGACCCGGAGCTGCAGCCTAAAGTATCCACCTCCATGGTGGCTGAGAGCCCTGCCTACCTATTACGGTATAGAGGATGACTTTTCACCTATACCCTGCATTGGAGAATAGCCAGATGGCATCTGGGCTGATGCTGTGCCTCAGCTGACTAATCTCTCCAGGTACAAGAGCAAACACACAGTCCAGGACACCATATGTCCCTGACTCACAGCTACTACCCCTTCCAGCCACGACCATTCCATCTGACATATGCTCTCCTGGGGCAAGGTGGGAGGCGGGCCAAAGAAATGGAGGAAATGTCTTAAAATTGAAGACAGAGTGAAAACACAAGGAGGAAGTGTGTGTCCAGTTGTTAGATCCTGAATGACATTCATTTAAACACTTTTATTTTGTCATACTGGGCATTGGACCCAGGGCGTGTTAAACAAGTCTCATACTGAGGTAAAGTCTCATACTAAATGACTTTATCTTTATCGTATTATTGTTATTATTACTTTATATTTCTGGTCTGATTTCATTGAAACAGGGTCTCCTCTGTAGCCAGCTGGCTAGAATTCACTGTATGGCTCAGGTTTATCTCAAAGATGTGATCTTCCCGGCTCTACTTTCCAAGTCCTGGGATTATAGGAGTGGGCCACTATGCCTAAGTGATGATGTTTATTCTTAAAGCACACCATGTTTCCCTGCAGACTGTGATCAGCTTCTTCGATCCTCGAGTGTTCAGCCTCAGAGCGGCCATTGCAGGCCACAGGTGGGGAGTTAGGAGGAGCTGCTTTGTTCATCCTCTCCCATTGTTTGGCGGTTTGGAATTTCACCCTAAGTTGAAAGTTAAACAGTTCCCCGGTTAGTTTAAAGGATCTCTTGTTGAAACTAGGAAATGACATCCCCCCAGGGTGCCCATTTCTCTTGTTCTCTCCAGGGACACCACCAGCAGAGCTTAAAGGTGTCCTCAGTAAGGTAGATTAGGTCCTCAGGGGCTGAGAACCCTGGCGTACTTCTGAGTGGATGGTTGGTACCACTGGGACAACTCTTGAAGCTTCCAGCACCTTGTTCTTTAATCAACCAAAGTAATGGGCGTGACATTTAGCTAGCTGAAGTGTAGGATCATAGATGCTCTGAGCTGGGGGAGTCAACCTGCCAATCATTCTTCTCCCAGATGCAGTGACTGAGGCCCAGGGGTGAAGGCACTCACCACGGTGCATTAGAAAGAGGGCCAAGTGGAACAAGATTTCAGAGCCTCTTAAGAGGCCAGAGCTTCTCCAGGAACACAAAACACAGTGGGGCCGATTTCTGAGTCACTGTGAGCCATGTGGTTTGGAAACTGGGAGTGGAATGTCTTCTTCCTTACTGCAAGCCACCTGTGCTTGTCAGCACAGTGAGGAAGTCAGAAGTGGTCTCAAGTTCTGATAAGAGCAAAAGGCATTTGAGAGGAATCTCCATGGAGGGCAAGAGCTTCTGACTGTTTGTGGTGGTTTCCCAGTACCCAGCCCTTTACAATTGGTGAGGTGGATCTTATCACCTGTGCTGATAAAGTTGAGAGCTTCATGACCCAGACAAGGGTACCCTAATAATGCACAAGATGGGATTTGAACCTAGCTCTCAGTGTAAGATGTTTTCAAGATTCTACTCAGAGGTACGCGAAGACAGTGTATAGACCTGTCAGAGATATTAGAGGAGAATATAATGTGTTGAAAGTATTTTGAGAGCTTCCTGTTCTAGGTTAGCAACTCACAGGTGAGACTGGACAGAGGTGGCCCCACGGGAAGGACGGGAGTGTTTACCTCTACTTAACACTGCATTTTAGAATCCCCTTTCCTAATGAGCCCTGCTATAAAAGACAGGCCTTTCTCTATTTTCTTTATCCCCTATTTTCTCCACAGGGTTTTGCCTTAAATGAAAAACCAGCCCAGTTTTAAGAATGCCCATAACAGAGGCACAAGACAAAACTTTGTTTCCTCTGAACAAAACTGGACTTCACTGTGGAGTCTTACTATTTACTAGAGTAGGATTGCTTTCAAGAAGTAAAGAAATCCTGTCTAGACAGGGACACATTTGTTTGTTTGTTTGTTTGTTTGTTTGTTTAGATAGTAAATGTGACCCTGGTTAGTATGAAATTTCACTTGCAGATTGGGACTGACCTTGAGCTCAGAGATTTGAGTGTGGGGCTCAAGGGCAAGTGGCACCAAGACTAACCTTCTTGGGGGGGGGGAGGGATTTGCACGTCAGAACAGAATTTTCTAGAGGAGGAACAGTTGAATTACAAGCCCAATCCAGTTTCATTCAGCTGCTGTTCTCAAGGGGAGGCAGATCTTTACATAGTTATTACATCTGGTGGTGTCATTCCCGTTCAGGATATTTGGACAACGCCATTTGGAAAAGGTTCTAGCAAATGTGAGTCAAAATGTTAGTGGTCTAGTGACTTCTCACTACCTTTCAGGTAACGCAGCTTCACAGGCTGGCCTAGGTGGGGCCCTCAGAGGACCTTACACACACCCATTGGGAACCGCCTTTCCATTCAAATGCACACTCTGTCAGCTTCCTCCTTCCAGACTTCAGTATCAAAAACATCAGATCTGAGCCCTTCCCTGGGGCTGCAGTAGGACTAACCCCCAGAGGGCATAGCAACCACTTCCGTACACACCAGAACAGGTGACTTCCCTCTCCAGTCCTTCTTCCCTTCACTTTAGCTCTTAATGAATTCTTCCAAGTTGCTCACACATGAACCCTCGTCCGCTCTGTGCTGCTGTTACAGAAGACCTGAATCTGGACAATGAAAATAAACACTCACTTCTCACACTTTCGGAGGCTCAGAGGTGTAAGATCAAGGTGCTGGCAGCTGGTGATGACCTTCTTGCTCTGTCCCCACAGGACGGAAGGGCAAACAGTGAGCGAGAGAGAACCAAAGGCATTCATTCCTCTTACAGAAACCACACCTACAGTGCGGAGCTCACTCCTGCGAGGTAGGCATCAATCCTGTACTGAGAGCTCTGCCCCCAGGGCCCAAACACTACCCATCAAGCTTCACTTCCCAATACCACCACACTGGAGGTTGAGTTTCCAAAAACACACAAGCTTTGAGAGACACATTGAAATAGGAGCATGTTCCCCCTAATCCCCAAATGAGCTACTGGAGGAATCCAAGCTAAGATTTTTCTCAACCCAGTACACTTAAAGCAGGTTTTTTTCCCTCCCTACTTCCTCCCCAGTTAATGATAACACTGCCCACCGCTCCCAAGGCTGAAACCACAGGCTCATTTTCAGTTCTCTTTCCTCCATATTGTAAAGTCTACATTTGAATTAGTTACTGATTTCTATGCAGATTTCAATAAAATCTCTCCCTCCCGTCCTTTCCTTACTTTCAATTCTCCTGAATGGAACCTTCAGCAGCACCTTAGGACATGTGCAGTAGCCTCCCTTCCCCCCCAAGGCTATTCACCATTTTCCTCTTTCTAACCCATGCTTCCTAGAGCCATGCAGCTTATCCCTCCAAGACACAAACTTGTCCACATGCTGCTTTGTCTACCCCAAACCCCAGAACTCATGACTGCCAGGCAAGGAAGAGGTGTATGTCCCATACCTGTGTACATCCCCCCTCTCTTGCATTGCCTTCCAGAAGTACCTTCCCCAGCAGCCTTACCACCCACTTCTTACCTTCAAAGAGCCTATTGATTTGTCAATTCTGGGTTTGACTATTCCTTGACTTTAGGGTGTGTTTTTAATTGCATTTTACGAGATTGAGATACCCACCATCCCACTGGGGATATCCCAGTCTCAAGGGCTCCATAACTCCCTACCAGGCTTAGTTTATCCACCCAGGGTAACAAAGCCGTCGCTTTTCGTCTGCTCCAGTTCCTGCTTGTTGGTTAACAAAGATACTAAACTAAATCCAGAATGCTATCTTACCACCCACACCTCAGCCTGCTTTTTTTTTTTCACAGCTCTCATTGGCTTTGGGCATGCTCTGAAATTCACTTATTAGATATTGGTTATCTCTCCCTATGAGAAGATGAGCCACACATTTCCTGAGAACTGATAAATGTCTACCACAGTCTCTGGTACCCAATGTTCTCAGTCACTTTACAAAGGGTATAAATGGATGAATGTGTACAAATCCTTAGACCAGTGTGGCAGTTGGGTAATGTTATGAGTCTGTAAAGACAAAACCTAGATGAGTCTGTAAAGGACAAGTCTGGGGCAAGTCCAGGAGAAACGGCACTAGCAGAAAATGTGTGCAGCGATGATAAGAATGACGTATAGGCAGACAGGAGTGTTAATCTTGAGTGTGACGCAGGGAAGAGGAGGTAAGGCTGAGGAATAGTATATAAACTGAGGCAAAAAGACCTCACAAGACATTCTCAAGATGATCTGCTAGAGACTCTGTCGGAGAGGCGCCAGAAAAACTCTACAGCATCGAGAATCAATCAATCAATCAACTAGACATTGGACCAGAGATCTTCCAAGAGCAAGAGAACAAGCTCTTGCCTGCAGATCAAGACTGGCTGATCCAGAGGTCTACGTCGAGAGCCATGAACCATCATCAGGTTGTACACCCCAATGCCTTATTAGATAGAATATAGGAATGCTTGCCTAGGATTTAGAAATATATATGTGCTTGTGTGATATTGCTTGTGTGATATTATATCCTTGCTTGTGATACTTGCTTATAGCTGTGACAGAACAATTGTAAGATCCTGAAGCGCCTATACAATAAAGGTAGTTCGGACAAAGCAGAGAACTGCTATCCTGAGTGTCATTGCTTGCAGACCTCTAAGTAAGGCCAGAAGGCCCACTCAGTAGGGCTCACGACAGTATCTAAGAATTGCTTGCAGAACACATACCTCAGAAATGTGAGTTTTTAATTAAAATCCTGGTTTAAAATTTCTCCCTCAGGGGCTGGAGATATGACTCAACCGTGAGAGCACTGACTGCTCTTCCAGAGGACCCAGGTTCAACTCCTCACACCCACACTGCAGTCTGCAGTTACAACGGTCTGTAACTCCAGTTTCAGGGGATCAGGCACCCTCACACAGACATGCAGGCAAAACACCACTGCACATCAAACAAAAGTAATTAAAACAATTCTCTCTCATTAAACTAATAATATACGGTAGTTTTTCATTGGGACGTAACATTTGTATGTACTTCTGGGGTGCAATATAATAATTTGAATCAGTCTAATATGGATTTTCATCTCCTCAAACAGTTACTATTTCAATGTATTAGGAATATCTTTTTCCTTTTGGGGAATAGGCTCTCATTCAATAGTCCATGCTGACCTAGAAGTCATTATATAGGTCAGACTGTCCTTGAACTTGTAGAAATCCTCCTGCTTCAGCCTCCCAATTGCTGAGATTACAGATGTGAGGCACCTCAGAGATCTTTGAACTTAAAGAAAACAACCCAGCAATTTTAATTATAGATGACTGTGGACAAGAGTCATCCTACAGCGTCGTTGAGCACTAGGAAGAATCCCTCCTGTCTAGCTCTTGTGATGCCCAGGACCCAAGCTCCCTTATTGCATTTACACCTTTTCTTAGACTCTAAGAAACACAATGAACCACAAGGAACAGAGCTGGGCTCTTCTATGAGAATGACAGTTTTGCTTTTACAAATGAGTGAGCATATTTGAAAAGGAAAGTGATTTGTATCGCTAGCCTCTAAGAATACAACTAAAATGGCCTTGATTTAAATAGTTCACTACCCTAATATTTCCAAAACTTATAGCAATATGCAATCAGTGTAAAACTATTCAAGAGCTATTTTTTCATTCTGTTTTTATTTTAGATCTTTAAAACATAATGTGTATTTCTCATAATGTGTATTTCTCACTTAAGCACTTCTCAGAGTGGACACAGGACAGTGAAGGTTAAGAGACAATTCCCAAATTAGGGAAAGTCCTTGATATATATGTGTGTGTGTGTGTGTGTGTGTGTGTGTGTATATGTACACACACACACACACATATATATATATATCGGCATTTTATATGAACCATGTGCCTATGGTGGTCAGAAGAGGGCATGGGATATCCTGGACTGGACTTATTGATAGTTGTGAGCTGCCACGTGGGTGCTGGAACTCAAACCTGGGTCTTCTAGAAGAGCATCCAATGCTCTTTCCCTCTGAGCGCTCTCTCTCTCTCTCTCTCTCTCTCTCTCTCTTCAGACTCTCCTCTTTTTCTTTCTTCCTCCCTCCCTCTCTCCCTCCTTTCTTTCTTTTAGATAATAAATGAATTTCTGCTTTTTCTGAACTTGGCTCCAAGATGACCAGGAAAAAAAAAGAGAGAGAGACAGAGAGAAACAATGGTCATGCCAAAAAGGGCCACAGCCATGTGTAGCCAGTTCACTGCACTAACTGCACCAGGTGCCTGCCCAAGGGCAAGGCCATTAAGAAGTCTGTCATTCGGAACTCTGTAGAGGCCACTACTGTCAGGGATATATCCGAAGAAAGTGTCTTCGACCCTTTGTGCTCCCCAAACTCTGTGTAAAGCTGCATTACTGTGTGAGCTGTGCTGTTCATAGCAAGGAAGTCAGTCAGGAATTGATCTCGTGCAGTTTGGAAGGACTGAACACCCTTACCACGATTTAGACCTGCTGGTGCTGGACCACGACCTCCACCAAAGCCCATGTGAAGAGGCGGCTTCATAAAGACAGCAGAAAACACCTTGAAAAGTAAAATGGGACTTACACTTTACATAGCATTTGAATGTGTCTATGCTGGGTGTGAATTGTGGTTATTTCATTTTGTGTGTGTGTGTGTGCTTCTGGAGACTGTAAGTCAGAACAAACTTGGTATTGTTTTGGACTCTGTACTCTGTATTTAGCTAAGAGCTTCACCCCAGCTTTTGACGTAAGCATCCCCCCCCCCCCCCCCCCGCCTCCAGTTGCCTCAGTCCAATCCAAACTCCACCTCCCAGAAATCCCGCCAAAGGATGACCCCGCCCTAGGGAGGGTCAAGAAAACCTGCCAAACGGTAACCCCTCCCCAGGGAAGGTCCTCTCCCCCAGAGAAAGAACGGGTGGTCTCCCCTTCTCTCTCTTCCCCTCTCCATGTTTTCCCGGGTCCACCCGGGAGTATTGTCATCCACTAAACATGGGCGTCTTTTAATTCGGTCTGATTTGGTCTAATTGGTATTATTTGTGTCGCGCATAGGCTTGTTTAAGAAAATACTTAACACTCGGTACACCTTATATTTTGAGGCAGTCTCTACAGGCTGGTCAGGGATCCTGTTTCTGCTTCCCTAGCCTTGAGATTAAAAGTGCTTGAACCAGGCTCAACTTTTTTATGTGAGTTCTGAAGATAAATTGGGTCTAACAAGATTTTTATATTCTCAGAAACCCTACTGTGGTTTTGTTTTAGTTTGTTTTTCTAGTGTAGGGCACTCACTGACTTTTCCAGCCCTACAGACTATGTGCGTGGTTTTTTTTATTCTTTTCCCTTTGGCTTTTTTGGGGACATGGTCAGGTGCCTTGCTAGTGTTGAACTTAGATCTCTCTGCCTCTAACTGGTAAGATTAAAGGTGTATGTCAACCAAATAAATAAACAGATAAATTTCTGTAACTACAACCTGGAACTGTAGCCTGAGTTCTAGTACTTGAAATGAGTTGCTGTTTCTCCCCTCCCCTCCCCTCCCCTCCCCTCCCTTTTCCCCTCTCCTCCCCTCCCCTCCCTTCCCCTCCTTTCCCTTCCCTTCCC